GCATCTCGCTCATCACTGAGGTATCCAAGTTATTCTCATCTACACAGTGTACTTCTGAGGTGCACGTCACCTTCTGCCAGTGGGTAATTCAGCAGCATTAATCTTGTGAAAATACACGTTGTTGTTATAATTTCAAATGTGGCCGTTAATAATAAGCAGACTTTAGCAGTATGATGCTGTATTAAGAAAGGAAGAGGGGTCTATTTTCCTTAAAAGGAAAAGAAAACAAAACTTTAACCACAGTTTGCATGTAGGACACATGATCTGCATCATCGTCTTTATTTTGCCTCCCATCTCTCAGGGTCTCCTAGTTTTGGTGAGCTTCCAGCTGTGATCAAAGAAGGGGTTAGAAAATTATGTGAGCAGCTCTGAGCAACACAGTTACACAGAATATGTCATTTAGGTAAGGATAGGCCTTTTTTTCCCCCTCCAAATGCTGCTTATACAAATATCTCAAAGATTTTAACAGCTCTCCAGCATTTTGAGGCACATTAATAGAAAGTAAGATGAAAAAATTAGTGCTTTTTATTGACCTTCATTTTAGGCATTTGCCATATGAGGTCTTGGTAAACTGGAAGACGTTTGCAGCACCACACAGTGTTTCATTGAGAAAGCATAAATACATCCTTGCAACCTTAAAAAGACAAAACCACACTTTTCTCAAATGTACTTTGACCTATAAAATTTATCTACTTTTGTCGCTAACCAAGAGAGCGTCTGGATTCAAACATTAACAGCAAGTCTACGTGACGTCTGTCACACCTGTGCCAAAGCAGAGTCTGCACTTGGACACAATCCTCGTTTCCTATAGACAAAGGACAAACTCCTCAAAGTCGTGGAATAAAGTATCTGCTATCACAGGTCAACAAATTAAATGGCATTGCTACAGGAGACGAAGTGGCCCTGAAGATATATATTAGTTGTTACTCCAATACTGCACAGCAGAAAGAAAAAAAAAGAAAGAAAAAGTCATTTCTTGTGTACTTTTTTTCCTTCCCTGCAACATTGTGCCTGGRTAAGTCTCTAAAAGATGAAAGATAGCCATGTAACCAAATACTGTATGTTTTATGAGTCCTTCTCCATGTCTAGCGATTACAATAAAGGCAAAGGCAGAACTGGATACCTGAGAGAGAAAAGAAAGCTTTTCCTACTATAGACTTTTAGTTCGTGACGATATCCGAGACATTATTTCCTCAGGTCACTATAGAAACCTTTCTCACCTTATGAAAGGTCACTGGGTAAGTGACAGGGAACATTAGTTTCTCTTAACAATATTGCTTTCTCTTCTTAAAATTTAAATAAAAAGGTAAAAGATTTTCCAGCTAAAAATGTAAAAGGCCRTTAGAATATCTAGTCAATATGTCTGAAATTGTAGGATAGAAGCCTTTCCATTGAGCCGGTAGCAAATATTTTTACAGATCCTGGAGCATCAAATCGCAGAAAGGATGACAGGCTATATTTTGGATGAAAACATAAATAAATAAATGAAAAAATCAGAAGTATGGAATAAAATAAACACAAATAATAAAGAAGCTTTTCCTCAGTTGTTTGTAACCTAGAGAAAAACAACTTTGCATGCTTTCCAGTTTTCTTAAAGAATAATTTTAATCCCCTCAAATCAATGTACTTTCCAGTACAGTCGGATCGTAATAGCACTGCCAAAATGATTGGAAAGTACTACAWTTTTTGAACATAAAACATCATGTGATTTCAATACAAGCTTTGTTTTCCCCCAGATCTCAAAAGAGGCAGCTTTAAGCCAAATCTGCTTGGTTTTAGGTCTCATCTCCCACAAGGACCGCAATCCTGCAGGAGCACTCCCTGGCACGTCTGCATGCCCAGGAACCCCCCTRGCTGCACCCCAGATAAATTGATACTGGTTTTGAGCAGGAATCTGCCATTTTGATGCAGATCACAGCTAAAGCGTTCATCAAACCCACGGTAAAGCTCCTGGTGAGGCTGAAGAGAGGCCCCAGCTCATATTGCTGCTGGTTTCTTGCTCCATCAGCGCGTTGCCTTCTGCTAACACTGTGCACAAGCTCACTCTGYAACCACTACCCTGCACCAGATCGAAAGGTGTTGGAGGCAAATTTTCCTTTGGACTTTGTACTTTTTCTGCTGCATATTTCTGCCTCACAAAAGCAGAGGGAAAAGCACATTTCAGCAGGCCCAGTAGAGAATGAGTCTTGGCCCATGCAGGACTTGGACCTGTTTTTAAAAAGCCTTGTCTGTAGTAACGAAAATATCCAAAAAAGTTTGGGAAGGGAGAAAGGGGGAGTGTTCCTGTATTTGAAAATTCCTCTTCTGTGCATTACTGCTTTTTTTTTTTTTTTATGTGTTCCTGATGACATTCTTGTTCTGTTTGAATCTCTGCACAGATCAGGGAGGACTGTAACATGCTCGACTTTACAGTTTGGGCACCTCAAGGTGACCAACTGTGTGGAGAGCAAAATCTGAAATGAAAAATAAGAGTGGTAGGAGTCTAATTTAGGAAAATTTAATTCTATCTATTCCTCTTAGAGCCAATCTAATGTGATGCAAGGTAAATATAATCTGCTTTGTATGAAGTGGGAAGCGAGAAGAGATGCAGGACAGCAGAGTTTGACTGCCTGAGTTGCATGGAGAAGTAGGTCTCCAGACTTACCACAGTGGGCTTGGAGATCCTGGGGCAAGAGGAACAAAGTCCAGCCMAATCTTATTTTCTTCAGGAAAGAGACAAATTGCTACTGATCTCTGTAGCTGCGGTAGAACTCGAGGAGGCCACATGAGCTGGCTTGCAAGCAAGTGAACTTCACCAGAGACACTGTTAGGAATCACCACACTCTCAAGGGATGGTTCTGTTGATAGCGTGAAGAATGTATTAAATGAATATCAAAGATTAAAACAATCTGCTTCTGCTAGCTCCAAAACACTAAGACTGCTGCTTTTGAACGTAAAAATACATGAATAATATTGGAATAGAAAAACAAAAAAAATTGCCCCCATTTCAGGCTTTGTTATCAGCTTTTTTTTTTTTTTTTTAAGGCTGGAATGGGGGCATTTTTTTTTCGTTTTTCTGATGAATCTTTGGAGATTATTTAAACATAATGCAATCAGCTAAACAATGTTGAAGAAGCAGCACTGAGCTTTGTCTATTCTTTCACACCATTTTGTTATCTTTCCTGTTTATCTTACAGCTACACAGGAGACCAGAATGAAGGTTAGTCTTTRCAATATGACAAATCTACTGGTTTCCTATTTTAGAAGGTAAACAACTCTTTTTGTAAAACTGAAATGCAGATAACGGAGCTGTGTAACGTTAAGAGTGACATTAGATTGAAAATGAGATTCCTGGGCTTGCTGGCGCATCCCCTGGGTGAGCGTCTATTGGACAAGGGCAAACACAGATAATTGCAATTCAGACTTACAGCTTTGGGAAAAATTTCACATTTTGTACCGGTCTTGTAGCCCACCAAACCCTGCAGCTGCACACTATGCACAGCTTTAAAATAATTGTTAGGAATTTCAAAATTATCAATATTTACATTAAATTATGAAGCTAATTTGTGGCTGGAAGTCTGTATCATGGGAGCTTAATGGAGAGTTTGCAGCTAGGTCTTCCAGTATTTCTTCCAAAAGTGCCTTTTGAAATATTTTTACCATCTGTACTTGGGAAAGAGTTAAAAGCAGGAAACTGTGCCGTCTTTTTAACAGGAAAGGTGTATTACGAAGCAGCAAGGGTTGCGCTGCGGCTTAACTGGATCTGCAGCACCATCTATGGAGGACACGCAAGCTCTGCCGCTTCTGCTCCCCAGCCACACCAGTGCTGAGCAGTCTGGGAGCACATTCAGAGCAGCAAAAAGCCTGTCACTGTCACAAGACTGACAGTGTCCCCCCTTTGCTAGTGTTTATAGTGACGCTGGGCTCTGGTGCTCTCCGTTGGACAGTTCAGAGCACACACAGACAAGTGTACGCAAAGAGAGAGACCTGTGACCATGCCACACATTTAGATTCAGTGACAACATGAAAAGTCTGGTCCATGCTGGTGCAGTGATCACATGCAAAGCTGGTATTATTGACACCATATGGTAAGATCAAGCACTTACCTGGGTGCCCTTCTTTGCTCTTCTCCCCGGTGCTTTAGAAGCTGCTTGGACAGCACCGAGAGGAACAGTCAGGCCCAGAGTGTGGCTGGTGAGCAATGCAGCATGGCCAACGTTCCAGGCTTTCCACTCGTGCTTCTCAGTGAAAGCCTCTGTAGCAATCAACTGTAGTAAAGCCCTGCTGCTCTGTAATTCTAATTTCTAGAAAAATAGGTGTACTCAGTGAGTTGGAACTGGTCCTTGTCAGCTCCATAAATCAAATATCCATAAGGAAGAGATAATATGCAGCTGATAACTTGTATCACCAAAGTAGTCCAAGAACAAGTACAAGGGATAATAATCCCTGAAATATAGCTGTCAGGGAATGCCRAATTTGTATTTCACAATTCAATACAGCACGAGGCTTGGAAACAATGCTTTAGTAATCTTTTTAATTAACCATTCATGAGGTTTCTCCTTCTAACTGAAGTACCATCCTTTCTGATATCCACAACCAGAAGCACGATCAAGCAGCTTAAATCAAAGATAAGAATTAAAAAATAAGAGGATTACTTGGAAGGGCATTTTTGTTTTGAAAGAACATTAATTTAGAATCAAGGATTAGGGAGGCAGAAAAGACCTGGATTTCCAAAAACAGTTTCCCTATAAAGGCAGTGACACTGGAGAATTCAAGTATAAACAACCTTACTTTTGACCAACGTTTTCAGGAACAACTTGTATGACTGCACTTGTGACTTGGATTGCACTTTTCTCTCTTTGTAGAACATGAAGCTTTACCCCAGAAGTGGAAATTGTGTCGTTCCGAGGAAAGACATCCTGGGGGACCATCCTACTCATGCAAAATACTGACCATACACACGGAGATTCAAACACAAGAGGCCTCATAAGAAAGCAGCCCTAATTACATGATCTTCTTCACAAGTTTAAATTAACTTAGACTCGCCTGGTTTCAATAACAGTCTCTTTTCAGTCTTCACCTCCGTTAACAATTGTCCTTGYGATGCTGCCTGCCTGTGAAATAATCTCTCACTTCAGCAGATCCAGGCTGCTGCAATACAGAGCTGTCCACTCTCCCAACTGAGGAGCCTGTTCTTTAACTGGGTAATTTCTTAGAAAAGACATTAGCTATCATTACACAGATGCTCAGCAGCCAGAACTATAATATTGTAGAGTTCAAAATACATCCCTAAATTCACATATTACGCCATTATACAAACATACATCATTTTAATAGTGAACTACTATCTTAGTGGGATCTAATCTGAAATTACGTTAGTTTTGATCCTTGAAACAGAAATACTATTTTTCTTCTTTTGGAACGAGCTCAAGCTTGTCTTTTCCTTAATTTGAAAAAGAACACAGCCAAAAGTACAATGCACTTTTTCCATCCATGCAACCATAAAGAAATATGAAGGCAACATCAAAATAATAACCAAAAAAGTACTGTATTTGTAAAAAATATATTTGTAGTCATTCTGTTCTCTAAAATAAAGGTGACTGTATGATAATGGTGCCATACACATGATCTGCAATTTGTTCTTCCTAATGAATACAAGTAGTTATTAGTGACAGAGGGACAAATTTTGTCTTCTAAAATAAATATTACCTGATCTGCTTCTGGATTTCCAGATTAATTGCCAGGTGCTACCAATTTCTACTGATACTACAGAATTGGTCCCATAACCTTCATTTTGGCTACATTAGACCTGGCTGCGAAGTGTTTCTAAAAAGTTAACTATCAGCCAGGTCCAGCTGATGCATCCACAGCAAATCATCAAAACATTACTAGCATTGCTTAAAAATAAACTTCAGAGTGGCTTGGACTATTATCTTTCTGCATGTGTATGAAAAACATTGTTTCTGCTGTGATGATCACTTGTCGTAAGATGATGTTTTCTTACCAAGAATCATATTGTAGAAAGCTTACTGCTGGGTGAAATTTTAAAGATACTCAGATTTTACAAAGAACACAGCCTCTGATTTTAATAGAGGCAAGTAAATACACACATCCTCTTTTCCCACATACAAGCTGTATGTTTCTATGTATAGACAGGTAAAATGTGTATGTGGAAGGTATTTGGCTTTATAGGACAAAATCTTCATTCATTTATGTCTTATGCAGTTCTAYTGACCTCAGCATTGCTGCAGAAAACTGAAATTTCTTTAGCAATGGTACTCTGTGATTAATCTGGTATGGAGTCTGCTGGACACAGCAAAGCTGTATGGGCTCCACTCTGAATGATAGAATAGGTCTGCTTGGGGGCTTCTGTGTGAGAGGATGAGGAAAAGATAGGAGGAGGGGGAGCTGACGTAGACACAGTGATACTCTGACCTCCGTCACTAACCACTGTCACTTCTGTTGCTCCTTCTTGTATTAAAGCATTGAGGCCTTCTAAGTCAGAGCAGCTGATAGCAGAGCTGGTGATGAAAGCTGGGTTTGCTGAAGCCTCGTGACTGCTGACAGGAGCGGCAGGAATCAGAGTTGGGTGCAAAGCACTTCCATCGCTTTGGTCATGAGCGGTGAGCAGAACTGCTGGCTGCGGCACAGCCCCTGCGTCGCTCTGAGATATGGCAGGAGGAGGTGGTGCCAACAAGCTGACTTGGCCCAGCAGCTGCAAGCGGCTGTTGGCCGACAGCTCTTCCTGACTCTGGCCGACCAAGGCAGGAGGCACAACRTTCACCGACGCAGCCTGAACCTGAGGGACCTGGTGACCCACAATGATCTTGACCCTTCCCTCATTGTATGGAGAAACCTGAGCAGCCTGAAGTGGGACCTGAATGTGACTGACAGTAATTGGGGCACTATTCTGTCGACTGGGATCCATCTGAAGCTGCAGAACAGCTAGTTCATTATTTTTAGTCCCGTTGTACATACTGTGCTGCTTCTTATGACTCCTAAGGGAATCTTCTCGGACAAAGGAAGCCTCACACAGGTCACACTTAAATGCTTTCTTGGCATCCAACTTGGCAACTTGCCTGGAGCTACCTTGTTTTGGTCTGTCTCCTTCTTTCTTCTCCACAGTTTGCTTCTTGGTCTTGACTTTGTCTCCATGAGCTTTCCTCACGTGAGTTGTCAGGTTGCTCCTCTGCTTTGTATCAAAGCTGCAGAATTCACATTTGAAAGGACGATCCTTGCAATGAATTCTCTCATGTACCTTCAAAGCTGCCTTGTTGGAGCAAGAGTAGTTGCACTCTGAGCACTTCACTGGCTGCTCAGGCTGATGAGTCCTTATGTGGTGCCGAAGGCTTGTTTTGTTCCCACACTGAAATTCACATTCTGGACACTTCAGAGYATTTTCCATGCTGTGCTTAATGCGAATGTGCGATTTCAAGTTGCCTTTCATGGCACACCGGACCTCACAGAACTCACATTTGTAAGGCTTCTCACCAGAATGCACACGCATGTGCCTCTTCAAGTCTGAGTTGATTTTAAATTTAGCTGGACACATCTGACATTGGAAAGGAGCATCTCCTGTCAAGAGAAAACACATTTCAAATTACAGAAGAGAAACCAGGATCTCCCTCTCTCTTGGAGGGATTAAATGCTATAATACTCAGCTAACTTGTTTTAGATACTTGTAAGCTCCCTGTATATTCTCAAGATGTAAAGAACTCTGCAAGCGGATGGTCTATGTCACCTGGTTTGAACACTTGTGTGCAGTCTTTCCAAGAGCATTTGCTTTGGAATGCCAAGAGCATTTGCCTACCCATTCCTGTTGTGCATTCATATTAGCATCTTGGATAGTCTTCATTTTCAGTTTATTTTGTGGGTAGACCTATTCCAAGTGCTTCAAAAGAAGCGACAGAAGTTTCTCCATTTATAGTCCTTTGGCAACAATATGTCTAGTCTGCCTTTAAAATTAATAAAAATAAACATTAATGAAGTTGAACATCTGCTAGATTTTTATGAAGTCTAAGAAATCCACATAAATACATGCTTACATGATTTACTGTGTGGCTTGCAGATAAAGTTTATGTCCAGGCTACTGCAGAATCAAATGTTTAACTGGTACTAGCTTCCCCATTGGCTCAAATATTCCTTACCGCCTCTCTTACACCAAGATTTGTTCACATGGAAAGTTAGATTAGCCGAAAAGAAAAACTGATTAATTTGGGGCCTGGTTAAATCCTTGCTCTGGCTTATGTGGAACAGCACAAAAGATTTTGTTGGCACAAGGCAGGGAGTGAAACTTCTTGTCCAAAATATTAGGTATACGGACAAGATTCTCTGCAGGTGATTGCAGAAGCGCAGCACTATTACCATTATAAACCAAGCAGGAATCACAGATACACAACAGTAACTGGAAAAGAGAAATAGGGTAATAATGAAACTAGTATGTAGGTATGTGACTCAAGGGAAATGTGCTTACAGACAGAAGTAACATTAAGCTTTTGTTTCTTCTGGCATTACAGCACCTGAGAAAGAGGTATTTGCATCATGCATCATACCTAATAATCTTCAACAGACCACTTTCAGAAACCTTAATCAGTTTGCATTGATGCAAACATGAATATAAAATATTTATAGGTGCGTATTTTCAATAAGAACACTCCTGATCCCAAACCTAACAACAAAGTTGAAACTTAGGTCAAATTCTTCTAAAGTGTGAAAAATGAACACAGTTTTCTGCAAGATCATTAGCAAACTACTTGCATCAAGCAACCTACATGAGTAACTACTTGAACTGTCTGGTTCTAAATCTTTTTAAATTTGCAGGCTTGTGTCACAACATGTATGATCAAATTAAGCTATAGATTTGTTTAGTCTACAGGCCTTGGACAAATTCCGGAGTAAAGACCAGTCACACCTTCGTGAAGTCTTCAGAAAATCCAAAGTAAACCTAATGAATAACACTATTCATTTTTTTTTCCACTTTAAACTAAATAGGTAGTTCCCTAAATGAACATATTGTAATGTGTTTACATAGTATTTAAAAAAAAACAGAACTATGGCATTGGGTGCTAGGATGAGATTTAAAGGCATTGGGAAGAGAGACTGTACTTAGTTCAGCATTTTTTTTCTTTAATAATCAAACTGCAAATGGCTAATTTATTTTATAAGTTAATATTTTATAGAGCTGTGATGGCTGTATAATTTTGCATAATTTGCTTATGCAGCTACAGATGCCACAGATTTAGCTGCGTATTTTTCAAATCAAGTTGTGGCCTACTGTGCTAATCCATGTATCTGTTTAATAATTGAGATACATGGTGTATTATGTATATGAAACAGACTTTATTAATGAAGACACAGTGTTTGCTCATCTGCTTTATTTTACAGCCTCAGCTGCACACTCTGCTACTGCATTTTTATCTGCTTTGCTGATGAAGGCAGAGTTGGTATTTCAATGGCTTATTTACATGTTCAGGATACTGTAATACAGGAAAGATAAAATTACTAATTTTTTTTTGAATAAAGGAAAGTATGTTTGTTTTGTTATTTAAAGGGTGGTCTGTTACTGAGAACCAAACTTAAAAAACAAAAAACAAAAAACAAAAAA